GAACCTCGGACACAGAATGCATTTGTTTTATATAATAGAGAGAAGCAAAAAATTGCAAATTTTATCTATTATTTCCAGATACTAATAAATTTTGTTAGTAATCCGTCCTTAAGGCAATGAAAATTTAGAAGAACACGCCCCCCTACCAGACCTTTACATGGCTTCGCCTAATGTTTAGAGTGGTACTGAGGGTAGTAAGCCTCCTTTACTACTACTGAGGTTGCGAAGTATCATTTGTGTAACAAGTATGAAGAATCATTTTGGTTAAGTTCACCTTTTTCGCAGTCTCTGCCTGTAAATCCGGGTTTACAGTTACATTTGTGACTTCCGGGAATATTTTGACAAGTAGCACCATTTTTGCATGGAGATCCAACACATTCATCAATATCTGAAGAACAAATCATAAGTTCGTAACAACGCGGATAATAATGATAACAATTATAATAATAGTAATAATGATAACTTATAATAATGATAACAATAATAATAATAATGATTAAGTGACAGCGGGAATAATAATTCCGTTGGCATACAATTATAATGATATTCATTTTCTAGTGATGATTTTTAAAGAGGGGTCCGAACTCGCCAAAATTGTCTTCAACGGGGCCCTTAATCTAGACCATGGACGTTTAAAGTAGCAATTCTAGTAGTATGTAAATGTGATGTGGCATTCATTGAAGAGTACATCGCGAAATACACCTAAATTAAAAATAATAATGGTACTCAGTTGAATATTCGAAAACGGTATTTAGGTCAACGAATTGCAAAATGCAGCGAAGTGCTTCTCAGGAAAGGGGATATCTTGGTAATGAAATAATTAAAAAATTTCAAATGAAGGCAAGATTAAAGCTACTGTTCCTAATGTAATTTTAAGCCTAACAAAGCTCACCAGTTTCACAGTTTCGTCCAGTATATCCAGACTTACACGCGCATTGGTAACATCCAGGGAGATTTTGACAAGTAGCACCGTTCTTACAAGGGGATTTAGCACACTCATTGATATCTAGATAACAAATTAAAAGTCAAAAGAACTTAAACAGCAATAATATTTAAAACTAGCATTTCCTTTCGTTTGCATTCTCCAATGGAGAAATAAAAGAAATAAAAGTGGTGTAACATGTAAATATTATGATCTTAGTCTGGATGCAACGAGAAGTACATATCGTCAAGGAATTTAATAATAACCTCACGTTAGACTTGTAGGACATCTATTAAATACGTTTTCAAATGCAAAATTGATGAAATTATCTCCTTCCAGAGATACTGCTAGAAGTTGTTAAAAAATTTAAATGAATAGATAGATTGTAGAAAGGTAGTGGAAGCAGTTCCTTACTATAAAAACCTGCTTTACAACTGCATGAATAACTCCCGGGAATATTAAAACATTGAGCGCCGTTTTTACGAGAAGATCAAGCACATTCGTTAACAACGAAATAAAAGAGTACAAATTAATACAACTTTTGTTGCATAAAGTAAAAAGTACCTCTTCTTATATATTATAATATATTGAATATATATTTTTTAAAAAATAATCCAGGACACTCACAAAACAGGTCCACAAAAGCAAAAATAATGTAATTAACTCCTTCCAGAGAAACTGCTAAAAGTTTCATAGTTCTTAATGGATAGGTAGATTGTAGAAAGCTATTGGAATTAAAAAAGAGCAGGCTAACTGACCTGTGTTGCAGTTCCTTCCTGTAAAACCTGCTTTACAAATGCACAGGTAACTCCCGGGCAAATTTCGACATGTAGCGCCGTTTTTACAAGGAGATACAGCACACTCGTTAATATCTAAATAAAAAAGTACAAATTAATATAACTTTTCTTGCAAGGAGTTAAAATTATTTCTTCTTAGAAGTTATTATTATTAATTTGTTTGTTTTTTGGTATAGGAGTAAATATAGGGAAATCACAAAAATGTTTTTAAGGGGTTGAAGCCCATGAACAATAATAATGGTACTCAATTAAATATCATCAAACAGTAATTAGGTCAACGAACTGCAAAATACAACGAGGTGCTTCTAAGAAAAGGCGATATCTTGGTTATGAAGCGATTTTAAAAAAATTAAGTGAAGGCAAGATGAAATTTACTGTTCCTAATGAAACTTTTATGCCTAACAAAGTTCACCTTTTTCACAGTTTCGTCCAGTATACCCGGATTTACACTTGCATCGGTAACTTCCAGGAAGGTTTTGACACAAGGCATTGTTTTGACACAGAGATTCAGCACACTCGTCTATATCTGTATATAGAATGAGAAACCAAATAACTAATTTCAGATAAAGGCAATGGAGGACTTTCTAGTTGCAACGATATTAGAGCGACTATTCAAGACTTTGTTCCGAGTTTTCTACAAGGAGCACACAGCCCTTTGTCAAAGTTCACATGATTATCATATTAGAACCGTCCAATCAATACAAGATGATGAAACAACATTTATTGACGCTTTTTAGAGTATTATCCAGTAAGAGAAATGAACCTCACCTATGTCGCCAAAAGATGAATATTAATTTTACAAGGCAGCTTACCTGTCTGACAGTTCCTGTCTGTATATCCAGATTTACACGTGCATCGGTAACATCCAGGGAGATTTTGACAAGTAGCACCGTTCTTACAAGGGGACTTAGCACATTCATTGATATCTAGATAACAAATTTAAAGTCAAAAGAACTTTAGACGCGATTATATTTAAAACCACCGTTTCCTTTCGTTTGCCTTTAGCCAATGGATAAAACTATTAGTAATAAAATTTTGTTAAACATGAAAATATTACGATCCTTATTTGGATGCAACTAGAAGGACATATCGTCTAGAAATACAACAATAACTTCACTTTAGACTTGTAGGATCCTTTTTTTTTTTTCAAAACAATCCAGGACACTGATTAAATACGTTTCCAAATGCAAAATTAATAAAGTTAACTCCTTTCAGAGATGTTTTCAAAAGTTCATACTTCTAAATGGATAGAATGGAGAAAAATAGTGGAATTGAACTTTCTTCTTATAAATTATGATTATTTATTTGTTATTTTTTGCGATAGAATTAAATATAAGGCAACCAAAAAAATATTTGTTAGGGGATGAAAGTTGATGAACAATAATTATGGTACCCAATTAAATATTATGAAACGGTATTTAGGTCAACGAACTGAAAATGCGACGAGCTGCTTCAAAGAAAAGGCGATATCTTGGTGATGAAGCGATTAAAAAAGTTCAAATGAAGGCAAGATGAAAGTTACTGTTCCTAATGAAACTTTTAAGTCTAACAAAGCTCACCTATTTCACAGTTTCGTCCAGTGTATCCGGATTTACACTTGCATCGGTAACTTCCAAGAAGATTTTGACACAAGGCATCGTTTTGACACGGAGACTTATCACACTCGTCTATATCTGTATATAGAATACGAAACCAAATAACTAATTTTAGATAAAGACACTAGAGGACTTTCTAGTTTCAGAGATTTAATAGCAACTATTCAAGACCTCTTTCCGATTTTCTGCAAGGAACACACAGTGTATTATCGAAGTTCACATGACTATCATTTAAGAACGGTACAATCAATACAAGATAACGGAAGTACAAATTTTAACGGCGCTTTTTAAGGAAAAAGGTTCTAGTAAGAGAAATGAACCACATTGCGACGTTCTTGTTACTTAGTAATATACAGACCATCGGACACAGAATCTATTTGTTTTATACAATAGAGAAGCAAAAAACTGCAAATTTTTTTTTAATCATTCCAAATATGACTTAATATTGTAATAAATCGGTCCTTAAGGCAATGAGATAATTTTAAAAGAACTCGCCCACCCCACCACATCATTTTATGGCTTCGCCCAATGTCTAGAGCAGTGCTGATAGTAGTAAGCCTTCATTTATATTGCTGAGATTGCAAAGTAAGTATCAATTGTGTGGCAAGTAATTTCAAAATAAGGAGCAAATAGCCCACGGATAATATCGTGATCTTAACTTGGATGCAGCAAGAATTTCAGATCGTCTAGAAATTCAAAAGTAACTCCACGTTAATTTTTTCCTCAAAACAATCCAGGACACTTATCAAATATGTTTCTAAATGCAAAATTAATAAAATCAACTCCTTCCAGAGATATTGCAAAAAGTTCATAATTCTAAATGGATAGATAGATTGTAGAAAGGTAGTGCAAT